ACCTGGTTTAGACCTGGTTTTAGACTGGTTTTAGACCTGGTTTAGACCTGGTTTAGACCTGGTTTAGACCTGGTTTAGACCTGGTTTTAGACCTGGTTTTAGACCTGGTTTTAGACCTGGTTTTAGACCTGGTTTTAGACCTGGTTTTAGACCTGGTTTTAGACCTGGTTTTAGACCTGGTTTAGACCTGGTTTAGACCTGGTTTAGACCTGGTTTAAGACCTGGTTTAAGACCTGGTTTTAGACCTGGTTTAGACCTGGTTTAGTCCTGGTTTAGTCCTGGTTTTAGACCTGGTTTAAGACCTGGTTTAGACCTGGTTTTAGACCTGGTTTAGACCTGGTTTAGACCTGGTTTTAGACCTGGTTTTAGACCTGGTTTTAGACCTGGTTTAGTGTCCGGCAATGAGTGGAATTATGAAAAAAAAAAAGGAGGGGATTTAGCCCAAAATGTGAAAAACAGTAAAATCCCTCTGTGTAATCCATTTATTTCAACAAAGTAACTGTAATCCAATTACCACTCACTGAAACAGTAACTATAACTGAATACAGTTACTCATCATTTGTACTCTGATTACTCTGGTACATGTAATCTGTTACTCCCCAACACTGACGACAAGAAACAGATTTAAAGTGACAGGTTAGACTGGGCATTTTTACTCCAACACAGTTAAAACCATGAAACTGTAGAGTGTAAAATGATACAACAATATGAAAACAGAAATAAAACTATATCCAAATATAGATGTGTTTAAAAGTACAGTTATAAAAGTGATTATTTCAAAACACTGTGCTGAAAAAATGAATGGTTAGTGTTTCCAGTGGTCCCTTGTTTATCAAATACAGAAAAGGTGAAATCCCCGAAGTCGTCAGTTTTATTTTTTACAATGATTCTATCTGTTTTAAGAGTGTAAAACCCCTCACCACAAACTTTACACACTTTTCTCTTTGTACTTTCTTCTAAAAACTTATTGCTGCTGTCGTCCTTTTGTTATTTTCCTCCTTCTTTATGTAACAAACCCAAGATTCATTTATTCTGTAATGGAGTCGACAGCGCAGAGTCCTGCACCTGCGCAGGACAGGACCACACCTGCCTGAGATTATATCAAACGGACTGAACCAAGACTAAACCAGGACTATCCTAGGACTGATTCCAGGACTGAACTAGGACTGAACCAGGACTAAACCAGGATTAAACCAAGTCCAGGACCAGGCCAGGACTGAGACCAGGACTGATTACAGGACCAGACCGGGACTGAGACTGGGACTGAAACTGGGACTAAGACAAGAGAACAGGACCAGGACTGAGACCAGAACTGATTCTAGGACCAGACCGAGACTGAGACCGAGACTGAGACCAGGACCAGACTGTGATTGAGACCGGGACCAGACCTGGACTGAGACCAGGAACAGGACCGGGACTAAGACCGGGACTGATTCCGGGACCAGACTGGGACCAGACCAGGAGTGAAAACGGTTTAGTCCTGGTTCAGTTCGTTATCCATTTTTTCCATTTTTCATTTAAACACAAAATCAAAAACTGAAAAAATCAGTTTTTTCATTTTGGTTTTGGAGACAAATAATGAAGAAAATAGTTTTTTGTGTGTGTGTTTTCTTATTTTTGGTTTTATTTTGAAAAATGAATGAACAAATGACGGATTATGAATATTTACATTTAAAAAGAGAATCGATGTTTAAGTTCTAATGGTGTCAAATCCTCGTTTTCTTACTCAAAGTTGTATTTTACTTTATTGCTGCATGTTTGTCTTGTTTTTGAGGGTTTTTTGAGTTTTTAGAATATTGTTGATGGTGAAACGTCGTTGTGAAGAGTCCGGGCGGCAGCAGCACAGACTCAGGCTCTGCAGTTTTGAACCGACTCAGTGGAGCTGCTTCTATCAGATTGGATCAACTGTGTTTCACAATTACCCCAAATGTAAAAATAATGATCTTATCAGTGGACGCTCGGATCCAGCGTCACAGATCACGACGCTCTGGTGGGACACTCACTTTTGGTTAAATAAACGACACAACAGACACAGCACCAAGTCAAACTCTCCCAAATTACACCAGCCACAAGGAAAATCAATGTTGTACTAAAAACTTCTTAAAATCGTCTGCTCCAGCCGCTCCTGCTGTTCTGAACTGTGAACTGCAACGCTGGAATTCGCACGTTGTCAGTAAATAGAGACATGCACATGCAGTAAAAGTTACGGGTGTGTGCTGGGACCAAACACAAAAACTGTGCAAAGGAAAAAAATTCAAATTCAGTTTCTGGAGCTCCAAAGAACGGCAGAGCGGATCTATTTTTTTCCATTCCCACACTCTGAAACTAATACATTTATGTTGATTCATTCATCATCCAAACACCTGCCGATCCAGTGGACCTGGCTCCACTGCATGTGTGTATTTGGTCCTACACGAGCATAAAAACTGCAACTTTTCGACACGTAACTTTTAAAATGCATGGAAAGTGAATGAGGACGGCTCCACTGTCTGCAGGTATGAAGCAGCGTGTCTTGCGCGCAGAGATTTCAGAAAATTTTTTGACACTCTACGTGAGCGTAGGCACATGTCCCCATCAAAATACAGAGAGCATGAATCTTTGGTTGTATTTGTGCGTTTATCATCAGCACATCGTGTCCTGGGGCAGATCTGTGTCATGTGAAAGAGTCCAGCTCCACAAAGACTCTTCATAACAACTTTAAAATGTTCTTTTGAAATGGTGTGTTTGTGGTGGTGAGTGTGAACAGAAGATAAATACAAGTGTGTTCTGTTAGTTTCACTGTGGACCTGATACAAGCGACTGAACGCCTCAGTCAAGTTTGATCGACTTTAACACTGACACACAGAGTCAGTGCTGCGCGTGTTCGTCCTGCTGCAGCTTCAGGTGGAGTCGTCTTTGTGTTGATGCACGGCTGTGGTTTCGTGAGGTTACGCGTGTACTTTGCTCTGCAGCTTTTGGATGCATAACTTTTTTTTGATGACGCATGTGGTGAACAAACCGTTCACTGGTGAGCACACGGTGAACACGGACACATGCAACACGAATGCTACGTAATAGTTTCTGTAGACTTAAAACTTTTAATTTCATACATGAGAGTTTCAGTTGCTCTTTGTTTGTTTATTTTCCAGCGTGTGACCTGGATGAATGTGCTGACGTCTTCTGTGTCGTCACGGTTTGTTTAGAAAAAACTAGTTTTACTTGGGTCCAATTAGAACCAACTTTTCATTTCCCAAATGCTCTGATTTCCAGCACAAACACGTGAGTCGGTTCAAGATTAGATGTGGGAATAAACACCAGCACAGTTCTGTCTGTATGTTCTGTCTGTATGTTCTGTCTGTATGTTCTGTCTGTATGTTCTGTCTGTATGTTCTGTCTGTATGTTCTGTCTGTATGTTCTGTCTGTATGTTCTGTCTGTATGTTTTGTCTGTAGGTTCTGTCTGTATGTTCTGTCTGTATGTTCTGTCTGTATGTTTTGTCTGTATGTTCTGTCTGTATGTTTTGTCTGTAGGTTCTGTCTGTAGGTTTGTCTGTATGTTCTGTCTGTATGTTTTGTCTGTAGTTCTGTCTGTAGTTTTGTCTGTATGTTTGTCTGGTTCTGTCTGTATGTTCTGTCTGTATGTGTCTGTTTGTCTGTATGTCTGTCTGTATGTTCTGTATGTCTGTTTCTGTATGTTGTTGTCTGTCTATGTTCTGTCTGTATGTTTTGTCTGTGTATGTTCTGTCTTCTGTCTGTATGTTTTGTCTGTATGTTCTGTCTGTAGGTTCTGTCTGTATGTATTGTCTGTATGTTCTGTCTGTATGTTCTGTTCTGTCTGTATGTTCTGTCTGTATGTTTTGTCTGTATGTTCTGTTCTGTCTGTATGTTCTGTCTGTTGTGTCTCTGTATGTTCTGTCTGTAGGTTCTGTCTGTATGTTTGTCTGTATGTTCTGTCTGTATGTTCTGTCTGTATGTCTGTCTGTATGTTCTGTCTGTATGTTCTGTCTGTATGTTCTGTCTGTATGTTCTGTCTGTATGTTCTGTCTGTATGTTCTGTCTGTAGTTCTGTCTGTATGTTCTGTCTGTATGTTCTGTCTGTATGTTCTGTCTGTATGTTCTGTCTGTAGTTCTGTCTGTATGTTTTGTCTGTATGTTCTGTCTGTATGTTCTGTCTGTAGTGTCTGTTGTTCTGTCTGTTGTCTGTATGTTCTGTCTGTGTGTTCTGTCTGTTGTCTGTCTGTATGTCTGTGTCTGTGTTCTGTCTGTATGTTTTGTCTGTATGTTCTGTCTGTATGTTCTGTCTGTATGTTCTGTCTGTATGTTCTGTCTGTATGTTTCTGTCTGTATGTTCTGTCTGTATGTTCTGTCTGTAGGTTCTGTCTGTATGTTCTGTCTGTATGTTCTGTCTGTATGTTCTGTCTGTATGTTCTGTCTGTATGTTTTGTCTGTATGTTCTGTCTGTATGTTCTGTATGTTCTGTCTGTAGGTTCTGTCTGTATGTTTTGTCTGTATGTTCTGTCTGTATGTTTTGTCTGTATGTTCTGTCTGTATGTTTCTGTCTGTGTGTTCTGTCTGTATGTTCTGTCTGTATGTCTGTCTGTAGTTCTGTCTGTATGTCTGTCTGTATGTTCTGTCTGTATGTTCTGTCTGTATGTTCTGTCTGTAGGTTCTGTCTGTATGTTTTGTCTGTATGTTCTGTCTGTAGGTTCTGTCTGTATGTTCTGTCTGTATGTCTGTCTGTAGGTTCTGTCTGTATTTTGTCTGTATGTTCTGTCTGTTTGTCTGTATGTTCTGTCTGTATGTTTGTCTGTATGTTCTTCTGTATGTCTGTGTCTGTATGTTTTGTCTGTATGTTCTGTCTGTATGTTCTGTCTGTTTCTTCTGTCTGTAGGTTCTGTCTGTAGGTTCTGTCTGTAGGTTCTGTCTGTAGGTTCTGTCTGTCTGTTCTGGAGCTGCAGCCTGGGTCAGAGGTGCAGATCAGAGGTTTAGAAGAAGCAGGTGTAGAACATAAACGTTCCGTACTTGAGGGGAGGAGCTGTGGTGGTTCTGGAAGCTCTGGTACTTGAGGGGGATGTGCAGACTCTCTTTGGGCCTCAGGTAGACCTGGGGCCCCGGGGCCCCCGGCTGCAGGTGGAACATGTTCTCCTCCACGGGGCTGGACGTGTGGTGCAGCGATCGGAAGAAGCTCCACTCCTCAGAACTGGTGATCACACTGAAACAAGAGGAGAAGAAGAGAAGTTAAAGTCGACTCACTGGTTCTGAGACGCTTCGTTCTCGTCTAGAGGTCGTTTATTTTAAGATTTAACTTGTCCAGTAAAATGATCTTGCTGCACGGACACATTATTTCACTACTTTTAAGTCATTTTCTGATTGATTTAAGTGTTTATATCTTAAATTTTGCCCAAGCTTTTTTGCAGTTTATATTTGATCGATTTTCTGTTCCAGACAAAAGCCCAAAAACCTGTTTATAATTACAAAAACGAACTTATGAGGCAAAGCGATGAGTTTCAGAACGAAGAAACAATACGACTGTAGGAATTCAAATCAAAATATTCAATCTCAAAGTCGTCCAAACTCTCGCCCCGCAGCGTCGCAGTCTGCAGTTCACTTCTTTGGTGTGGAGTTTGAACGCACAGGCTCCTCGTCGATAATCACGAGAGCGAATCAGGAGAGCGAATCAGGAGAGCGAGGACAGACGGAAAACTGGGTAAAGTTTGTGAGTAAAGCTGCTCCCTCTGCGTCCTCCACACCTCCACCTCCACCTCCACAGCTCTGCTCATCGGCACGAGACGAACCGTGAAAGAGGTGCCAGACGCTCAGAGGTGTCACGCTGCCCTCTCCCTCTCTCCTCTCTCTGTCCTTCTCTTTTTTTTCTTTTTCTCGCTCTCTCCCGCTCTGTCTCTGTCACCCTCACTCCATCTCTGTCTCCTTCTCTTTTTCTCTCTGTCTCCCTCTGTTTGTCCACCTCGTTTCCTCTCTTTCTCTCTTTCTCCGTCCTTCCCTCTATACTACTTGTAATATTCATTGTAAAAAACAAAGACAAAAAACAGCACATTATTTTTTATTTTATTTTATGTATGAACGACTTATAGTAATTTACTGATCTAAAAACAATAAGGAGCTAAGTTAAAGGCAAGTTCTACCAAAGACACCAGTTTATGTACCTGCCCAGAGACTAAAGATGAAACTAACAGTAGCTCACTTATGACTTATTTTATATATGACCTATTTTTCTATTTTATTTTGACTTTGACATTTCTATAAATATACCTTATTATATTAAAGTACCAGTGGAAGTTTTCTTAAAGGTTGTATAGAGGATTTTTTTAAGGGAAGAGAAATACAGCGACAGTCCTTGTGCGCGTTCAGAATCACTGTTGAAGTTTCCTGTCTAGAAGTAATTCAGCGACCGACGCGTCAGTTTTTAGACCCTTCGTCTGCTTCGGTCGCGCCATCGCTGGACGAGATCTCCAAGAATCACCTCAGTTTGGCTTCGCTCCTTTTCCCCTCTTCTCTTCTTCTTTCAGCGACCTCAAAAACGGACTTTCTTTTGCGGCGAACCGGTCGTGGATTCTCGTCCGCCGTCGCGACAAACTTTTGTGCGAAATGCGAGGAAGCGACAGTTCGAAAAAGCCTCTAAGAACCGCTGCGTAAACCACGTAATCCCCGCGCTCCAACGAGTCAGTTATACTAGGGAGTTTGATTGACAACCTAACAGCCAATAGAAAATGATTGGCTGGTTTATCTGCCTCGTTTTTTTTTTTTCGTCTATTGGCTGATGTTTATCTGGCCTCTAAAAAAGGTTTCACAGGTTTTTTTACACCGATTTTCCACCTTTGAGTTTTACAACAAGGAACCACTCACACATTCACACATTCACACACCAGTGCACACAGAAACTGGGGGGGAGGTGGGTTAAGTGTCTTGCCCAAGGACACAATGACAGTGTTCGTCTGTGGGAGCTGGAATCACACCAACAACCTGTGGGTCAATGGATCTGACGCTCAAACCAGTGATGTTTATGTCAAGAGTGAGATTCAAACCTCCAACTTGTGCTGTAGTCAAACCAAGACCAGTCTGAGACCACAGAGTCCTGAGACCAGGACAAGACCAAGACTTTTAAAGGCCAAGACTGAGACAAGACCAAGACCACAGCCCATCGAGACCAGATCAAGACCATCTTTGTCATTTTTTGTATTTATTTGTATTTTACAGTTATTTTGGCACAGATATATCAATGTGTTTATAAATCTTAATTTTATCTGAATAATGTTAATTTAAGATTAAAATAAGAAAAGCACTGAAACACTCTGTGCCCCTTCTTTGAACCCTCACCCACAGTTTGAGAACCTCTTCTTTAATAAGACAATTTCCACTGACACTTTACACAAAACTGTGAAGAAAGTGAAGAAAGTGGACAGCAATTTTAAACTTGTTTTTTCAAGTTTCTCACTGGAGCTGGACCTCGTGTCTGTGACAAAACTGAATCCAAGCGCCATCAAGACCGAGACAAGACCAAGTCCAAGCACCTTAAGACCGAGACAAGACCGAGTCCAAGCACCTTAAGACCGAGACAAGACCGAGTCCAAGTACCTTCAAGACCAAGACAAGACCGAGTCCAAGTACCTTCAAGACCAAGACAAGACCGAGTCCAAGCACCTTCGAGACCAAGACAAGACCGAGTCCAAGTGCCTTTAAGACCAAGACAAGACCGAGTCCAAGTACCTTTAAGACCAAGACAAGACCGAGTCCAAGCACCTTCGAGACCAAGACAAGACCGAGTCCAAGTGCCTTTAAGACTGGGTCAAGACCGAGACCAACACAGGACCGAGTCGAAATGCAGTCGAGTCCGAGACGAGACCAACATGGTAAAAACAACGGTTTCGAGGCTGGTCTTGAATATTACAACACTAACGCCAACCTTCAGATCAGTGCACAAACACTTTACCAAACTGAGTACAGTTTGCTTTTCTAATTTTAAGCCTAAATGAACATTAATCAGACAAAATGGAGACAGATTTATAAAACTATTGATATAAATGTGCCAGAAATAAATCACAAACCAATGTAGAAAATGGCAAAGATGATCTCTATTTGGTTTTGATGGGCCGTGGTCTCGTCTTGTCTCGATCTTGACCCTCAGAGGTCTTGGTCTTGTCCTAGTCTCTGGACCCTATGGTCTTGGACTGGTCCTGATCTCGATTAGTTCAGTCTTGACTACAACACAAACTCCACCTACAATCACATTTCAAACAGAGCTGCTAAAGAGTCACTTTTGTGTAATATCAGACTTTTAAGAACAAACCAAACTCTCCATCCCTCTTCATCCCCTCTTCTTCTTCTTCTTCATCCCTCTCTTCTTCTTCTTCTTCATCCCTCTCTTCCTCTCAGGTAAATATATAAATAAAGTTGGTGTTAATCTGCAGGAGACAGATGCACGGATTGATTAGCCCCAATTAAACCCGGATGGCGTTCGGCGGCGGGAGGTGAGGGGGCGGGGACAGGGGGGAGGGTGGTGTGTGTGTGTATGTATCAGACACACACACACACACACACACACACACACAGGGCCCCGTCGTCCGTGCTGATGTATGTTGATCCGGGGCCGGGCGTGAGCGGACTGGAGAGCGAGGGACTGACGGAGGAGCCGGGGATTAACCTCGGCGAATCCTGAGCGACGGATGCAAACACGTCCGGGAGGAAGACGAGGCGCCGCGACATTTCCCCGAGACGACGGAGACGAGCCGGTTACACAAACCCAAAGGTCACGCACACGCTCGGCCGTCCGCTCCCGCAGCTTCACACGTCGAGTTAAACTGTGATCCTTCTGTTTCACGTTCACCTTTTCAGCTCGAGAGGCGACGATTTAAAAGGTCCATGTTAAAACTGACTCTTGGGAAATTTAAGCCGCGTTCTCGTGTTATTTCCTCGTCACAAACAGAGCTGGAGTTGAGTTTGTTTCATTCACATGTTTGAGTAAATCTTTATTATTAGTCTGTTTACATCTGCAGCTCTGCTTCACCTTGTGATGTCATGTGGTAGTAGTTTTCAGGTCAACAGACACATTCTAACTTTTATTCAGTCGAGATTGGAAAAACATAAAACCTGATGAAAAAAATAAATAAAATTGAATTAATTACAGGACTTTGGAATGAATTAATCTCAATGAATCACATAAAAATATGACTCATTTTCTTCCTTGAAGCGGGTCATTTGTTGGAGTCTGTGTTGCTCACGCCTCTTGTTTGGACTCGGACGTGGGACAGAACTGCTCCCACCAACAGCTCCACAGGTTTTGTTTTCACTGTCACATGTTTTATATTTAAATGGTCTCGCAGAGTTGATGTAGTCAGGCTGGCGCCACCTAGTGCCTCCGGTCAGTTTCATTTCTCTCCAGCGACTAGGTCAGAATACACTAAACCAGGGGTCGGCAACCTGCGGCTCCGGAGCCACATGTGGCTCTTTAGCTCTCCCTAGTGGCTCCCTGGAGCTTTTTCAAAAATGAGTGAAAATGGAAAAGGAATGATTTTTTTGGTTGTTGTTTTAATCTGGTTTGTTTCGGGGTAAAACCCTCGTTCATCTGCTCATGGATCTGATCCATCATCTGTGTGTGAATGAAACACATGAAAAGTGTTTCAGCAGAACAAACAGATGAGCAGAAGCTGAAGTGGGGGTGGTGTCCACCTCCACCTGAGGAGAACTTTCCCCGAAAAAAAAAACAAAAAAACACGCACACAGACGGACGCTCAGAACAACATATAACGAACCAAACAGGATTCACGCTTCTGTCCGGACGCTGCTCCACCTCAGAACCAGCCGCGGTCGAGCAGAAGGACCAGAGCAGCCGGACCTGTGGTCCACAGAACATTCTCGCTTTTCCCACACAGAACCAGCGCACAGACGACGGCACTGAAGCACTCGGACCCAGTTCTAAGGATCTTAACATAAATAAAAGTTCATTCTAATGTGTAAAATGATTCACTGTATTGGGCCCTGGATCAGTCTCTGCTTCGTCTGTGTTTAGATTTGTGGCCCTTGAAGTAAAAAAGTTTGGACGCTCCTGGGCTACAGCAAAGTTTTTGTCAGGACGTCTATTTGAGCAGAACAAATCCTGCAGATTTAAGCTGAGAACTTCTCTGAAACAGAAAACAGTCACTAAATCAGACTTGGAGAGATTTATCCAGGCGTTTGTCTCCAGTCGGTCAGATCCTG